GCTCACGGATTGAAGGGTCCTGGGTTCGATTCTGGTCAAGGGCATGTACCTCGGTTGCAGGCTCCATCTGACCAATCGATGAGTCTCTCTCACATCGATGTTCCTGTCTCTTTGTCTCTCCCCTTCCTTTTCCCTCTCTCTAAAAATCAATGGGAAAAACATCCTGGGGTGAGGATTAACAAAAAAAGACACTAAAGAGAGTAAATGGCTATTAACATTTAAGGATTTACACTTAATTCTATGAGTTTGGTTCTTCCTTTTTATTGAAGTGAAAGTTGTGGGGAAGCACGGGACTTGGTTGGAATGTCTGTGAGGAGATTCTCTGAAAGGTCGGGACCTCTGAGGGGACCTTGCTGAAGGTGAAGGCGGCAGCCCCTGCCTTGACTTTTCCAAACAAATCCCATTCCCTGGGATGTTTTGTTAGAATCTCTATGTTGAGTCTTTAAAGACCTGACCTTGTAGAAGCATATACTTTCTCAAGGGTACTTGCCCTGCTGATTGTATCTGGAGGTTAATTTGAGTTCAAGCTGTTGTGACAATAAAAAGCCAATGAGGCAGGCGAACAGAACTGCTTTTAGGACTGAAGTAAAAGAGTCCCTTAGCCCTCTCTTTCACAGACACCTGTGTCAGAGTGATCTGTTCATCCGTCGCTCAGGGGCTGCTGGTCAGCCTGGCAGAAAGTTCTAGAACGTAAAACCAACTTTTTAAAAGTGTACAGTTCAGTGGCATTTAGCACCTTCACAATGTCGTACAACTACCACTTCCATTTAGTTCAAAAACATTTAATCATCTCAAAGGAAAATCTCATAGGCATTGAGCAGTCACTCCCTATCCCCACTCCCCCGCCTCACCCCTGGCTATCACAGCTTTGCTTCCTGTCTCTATTACCTACTCCAGGTAATTCTTATCAATGGAGTCATACAATATATGACCTTTTGTGTCTGGCTTTTTTAACTTGGAGTGAGTTCTTGAGGTTTATTCACTTTGTAGAATGTCTCATTTCTTTGTATAACTCAATAATACGCCATTGAATGGTTCAATAATATGCCATTGTATAACTGAATAATACACCATTTTATGGATAGAACACGTATTGCTTATCCATTCATCAGTTGATGGACATTGGGTTATTGTGAATTAAGCTGCCATGAACCTTCATGTGCAAACAGAAAGAATAGACACCAGAAGGAAAGACAGGTAGGGGAAGGTAGGAGAGGATAAGTGAGTGATAAATGGTGATGGAAGGAAACTTGACTTGGGGTGGTGAACACATAATACAATATACAGATGATGTATTATATAGAAACCTATATAATGTATAAACCAATGTCACCGCATAAGTTCAATAAAAAAATAAATAAGTAGCACTGATTTATTACAGTATGAGTAATAAAGCAAGGAGAGAGAGAGGGAGGGAGGGAGAGAGAGAGAGAGAGAGAGAGAGAGAGAGAGAGAAAGAAATAACACCCAACTTGTTCAT